CACAGCCAGCCACCCAGAAGATCCCAGAGTCTCCCTGAGGACTTAAGGGAGCCAGGTAGGCAATGGGTTTCATTGCAAGCCCATTAGCTAGGTGGAAAGGCTGTGGGCACTGGGTGTGCCATGGGGCCATTTTCTTATAGCTTCACTTCAGGGTGACATATAGACTCCCCATCCAAAGTCCCTTACCCCTTCAGTGTTCCTGAAACACTTGGGTGGACATAGGAGTTAGCTCTGAGTTGTGCCTGGCAGATCCTGAAACCCTCAGTGAGAAAGAAGCTGGAGCAAGAGGCCATGGAAATATCTGCTGATTCTGGGGGCCCACCCCAGCATCTCAGCCTCCTGCAGCTTGGAACTCTGACACCAGGAGTTCCCGAAACCCAGGCCCCCATGCATGAAATGAGCAGCTTGGGTTTCTAAGATCTTCCAAATCCAACCTTCTCAGGTGAAACTCAGGCTCAACCAACAGTACGAACAGCATGCTTTCTTCGTTGTTGTCAGGAGTTGTTGGTTCTTGTTTTTTTTTTTTTTTTTTTGAGACAGGGCCTCTCTACATAGCTCTGATTGTCCTAGAACTCAGTATGTAGACCAGGATGGCCTTGAACTCACAGAGATCTGTCTGTCTTTGCCTTCTGAGTGCTAGGATTAAGGCATGATCACCATGCTCAACTCAAACAGCACATTTTCAGTGGGGCCTATTGCCAGTGACTGACTGCCATGTGACACCTGGCTGAGAATGCCGTTCCCCCAGATGTACACCCACCACCCCAGGAATTTAGAGTCTGAGGAAGGAAGAAGAGGAGTTTGGGGCTAGCTCTGCCTCACAGGGAGGTCAGGGATAGCCCCAGCTGTACAGCAAGATCCCCCACTCCCTTAAAAACATAAAGTTTGTTACAGTTCGAGGGAAGAAAGGAGATATGCTTCTTTCTCCTGAGTGTGTGGGGTGTCCATGGGGAAGCCCTTGGTCAGTCAGAGGACAGGAGCAGCAAAGGGGCAAGAGCCTTCCCAATAGTATCTGCAGGAGGAGGAGGGGTACCAGCATCTCAAGACCAGTGCTTTGTGTGACCCCAACCAGCCTGGTGTGGGATCCTGACCTGGGAGAGTATGGCAGCTGGGTAGTCATAGCCCAGAATAAGTGACCAGAGAAGGAGTGAGGACACAGTGGGTGAGCCCTCTACTGTCTGTAGAAATTGGTCAAGCAAAAGAGGCTGTCCCTCAGGGACAACAAGTCCCCAGATACCAAAGCAACACATGGTTAATACAGATGGCACAGTTGAAAGTTAAAGCACTATCAAATTTGTGGTGTGCAGACAAAGGGGCACTTAGAAATGCATTTTATTTAATCATTAACTAATTAAGTATTAATTCCTTAAATGGGGAAAATAAAAGGTAACAGAGGCAGGCATGGTGGTGCATCCCAGTTTGTGGGAGGAGTCAGATCTTCAAGGTCATTCTCAGCTACATATCAAGTTCAAGGTCAACTGAGACTACATGAGACCCTGTCTTAGAAACTAAATAAATAAACAAGTGATCACAAACCAATAAGCCAGGAGTAAGCAAACTACAGTCTCTGGGCCAAATCTGGCCCTTTATTGCTTTTATAAACAGAATCGCTGAAACAGTCACCTGCTCACTAGTAGAGCGAGCTGATGAGAGCATACGCTTCCCCTTAAGAGACTGCAAGAAAGCTCAATGTGAGCAGAAAGCAGGAAATAATAATGACCAGAGTAGGAACTAGTGATCTAGAAGTCACAACCAATTTACTCAAGATCTGGTTCTTTGGAAAGACCAGTGAAGTAAACTACTCAGTCTGTCATGTACATAATAGATTTGTCTTCTGGAAGCCCACACGACTCAGTTCAATGAGGAAGTAGTCATGCCTCCAGGTCATGGCCCCCAGAATCACGTAGGAAATTCAAGCCCTTCCTCTATGGCTCCCCCCCCCCCCCCCCTCTCTTTCTCTCTCTCCCTCTCTCTCTCTCTCCCTCGTGTGTGTGTGTGTGTGTGTGTGTGTGTGTGTGTGTGTGATCGCAGAATGCACAGTCATTGTAGCTGCTATTGGTTGTTCTGGGGCTGGCATCTATCGCACAGTGGTCTTTTCTTAGCTCTGGGTCTGCTTGAACACTATGGATGTGCAGTCTGGTCGGATGGTGGTGACTCAATGGGAAGAAAAGGACAGGAATGGAGGCCCCTCACCCACACTGGCTGTCAAGCATTGACAGGAAGAGGTCTGAGGTATGCTGAGCCCTGCCTCTTACCTTTGGAGAACACTGATAGTTTTGTTGGGCTACTGGGTCACCCTGAGTCCTAGTGTCTTTGAGATGTATTTTCCAACACCAGATTGGTTCCCAGAGCTTGTGCTGGGACAAGTGTCTCTCCATAAGCCCTGTGTGGGGCCACAAGGACAGGAAGATGGGGATATTATCAGAATTCTCCAGGTGCTGCCTGTCGTCCCCCCCCCATGGGGGCATGATCTTAGGGTAAAGTCAAAATGAAAATACTGAATATATGGGAGGCCCACTCTGAGTCTCACTGCCTCCCGTGTGCCTGCTACATGGAATTCTCAAGAGCCATGAGCATCTCACTCACTTCCTAGTCAGAGTGAGTGGCTCGTAGCATCTTGACAGGATTGGCACCTGAGAATAAAATGCCACCTGAGGACTCCTGGTGGAGCCCTCCATGAAGCCATATCAAGAGTGGCCTTAACTGTGTGCCAGGCAGTGGGAAGTTCTAGGGAAACCTTTGATGGATTCTTTGGGGAGGGGGGATACAGGTTGACACTGTCCCTTGAGCAAAAAGGAGGGAGAACTAGCTGATGGTGACCAGCCACATCCTATGCAATAGGAGCTTGTGTCCACATGGTGACACGGTCGGTGACTTCCTTTCTCCTGCCAATGACAAGGAGACATCTTGGTGCAGGCCGTGGTGGAAGCAGCTGCTGTCCGATTGTGCCCTGGGGCAGAGATCAGGGTCCCTTTGCACCCTTGGGACCAGATTCCTCTACCATCACACAATTTGGTCACACAGGGCTGGGGCAGGAGGACTGGAGGCTGCACAGTGCGGACACAGCACTCCTGAACCAGCTGAGCTCCCTTAGATAGAAGAGTCCTTGTCAAATGTGAGTCTCCTCAGTGCTCTGTCCCAGAGGGAACTGATTGATGGAGGAGCCGATGAGCTCAGAGCTGGTGCGGGCAGTCTGGTCGGATGGTGGTGACTCAATGGGAAGAAAAGGACAGGAATGGAGGCCCCTCACCCACACCGGTTGTCAAGCATTGACAGGAAGAGGCCTGAGGTATATGCACAAAGACAGCTTAATGGCTTTTGGTTAAAGCTCCTTCAGAACATGCTGAGCTGGGAGAGGCTAGGGGAACCGTGGTGGCCCTGCAGTGGCTAGGACTGCTGGGCTAAAAGGGAGACACAACAGTAGCCATAGGTTCAGGTGCTCCTCTCCCAGCACCCACCTAGCCCTCGGGGTACTGTGTGTACTCTGTGAAGGAGGTCTCATTGAGCAAGGTCCCCAGTGCTCTGCCTGGCCCTTGATGCCTTTATACCTAGCACAGCTTCCTTGTGAGACCCTCCAAGGATCTGTAAGCAGGAACCATCAGGCAGGGAGAAACAGAGAACTGAGGCACACTGGCTATATAAGCCATGTGTCCTGGAAGGTCTGTTGTCAACTTGGGTTGCGCCTAAAGGCAAGGTCACACATGACTTGGGTTGTTTCTACAAGGAACCCCAAATGAGACCAACATGCCAGCCTGGGCTCTCAGGCAACCAGATCTTCTTCAGGGGACAGCAGAGCATAGTTTTGGCCTCAGCCAGCTTCTACCAGTAGTTGCCACCTCTATAGTCTGAGCTTGAAGTCCAAGTATGCAGTCTCTGCCAGGCAACTCTACTAGCAACTCCAGGGCATTTCATTTCCAGCCCATGAACCAAGCATACTCCCAACCCAGGTACCACTCTGCCTCTCAGTGAGGGTGAAGAGGTTTGGAATCAGGTAGCTCTGCCCATTTGAGGTGCACACCCTCCACAGGCCTGTGTGCACCTGCATCCTGCCAGCTACAAAGATCCTAGCAATGATGTTGACTCTGGGGCTGGGTGCCTGGCACTGGGATGAAGAGCTAGGGGTTAGCTTGAGAAATGTTCTGATATGGGTGATAGGGGGAGGAATGCCCCAGAGATGGGTTTCCCTGAAAGTCCCTTTCTTATATTTTTGGTTGTAAGCCTAGCCTTTAATGGCTGAGCCATCTCTCCAGCCCAAAGTCCCTTTCTTAAATGGGCTCTCATTGCAGTGAGAGGCCTGGGGACAAGACAGTGTCTAGAAATTCTCTTGTGATGTGACCAGCCCCAGATGCAGAGTCCATGTGCCTCATGTCAAGATCAGACCCAGGACAGTGAATCTGAATGTCTTCAGAGGGGGAAGTGGGTCACTGTGGGGCCTTGGAGCTTCTGGGACAACAAGGGGACATGTCAGGGAACCCCACAGCTTTTGGTCCTTAGCAAACACCATGGGCAGATCCTGCAGGTCTCGGTGGCAACCACCTCATTGGGCTGAGGCCTGCTGAACTCAGAGGCACCCAAAGAGGCCACCGTGACCTTGATGAACAGTGTTGTCCTGCTGTAGCAAGATCCTTGAAACCTGTTGCCTACATCCCACATCATGGCCTGGTTGATGGCCTCTCTCACACACACACAGAGAGAGAGAGAGAGAGAGAGAGAGAGAGAGAGAGAGAGAGAGAGAGAGAAACAGCAGAAGATGAGAGGGAGGATGAGAGAAAGCCACTGATTTACCCATTAAGAAAATTTGTGGAGAATACTGCATAGGAACCGAGGACCACGGTGATCAGCATCTCAGGATTCAGGCGAATGCATGATGTGTGTGTCCTACTCTTCCAGGGATCCTCCTCTTGCCCCATCTTGAGCTGGGAAGTGCTGGGCTGGGGGCCAGCAAAACACTCTGGCTCTGATAGTGGACTCATTTTTAACTGGTATTATTTTATTAGCAGCTTTACTCAACCGGTTGGCAGCACCCCAACCCAGCCACCAGCCGACGACCCAGCTACAGGTGTGTAGGGAGGGCTCTGCCCAACTCTTCCATTTATATACCCAGCCAGCATGCTCCCCATTTCCAGCGTCTCCCCTACTAAGCACTCTACAACACCCCACCCTTCCAGACTCAGCCCTGGGAAGGACATCAAATAGGCTGACTGCCAACTCCATCCCTGGGAACTTGGGTGCTGACAGGGGCTGGGGTGGGTAATACTCTGGCTATAGATAGATTCAGGTGTCTGACTGGAGGCTGTCCCCAGTGAAAGCTGTGGCCCAAAGCCTGTTTTCTGACAGGAGAGATTCCCCCAGCCTATCAAGCCAAAGACCCCAGGGGCCTGCTCTTTGTCAGTCACTATCACCTCCTAAATTAAGCCTCTGATGGAAACAAGCCTCACGTACGTCACACTCCAAATTAAACTATTAATGTGTTCCACTCAGGCCTCAAACACAGGACCTGCCTGTCCACCAAGGTGACAAGGCCCACTCTGCTTATTGCTTCTCACCTGGGAAGTTACTGCAGAGTGTAAATGTGGCATATAACTCTTGGAGACCGGCTGGAGCTGGAACAGCTTATCAAAGCCTTTGGTGATATCTCACAACAGAGGTCTGGGGGCATCAGGAGATGGTGTCTGCTGGGACATTTGGTTGGAGACAGGAGTCCAGATTCTATGTTAGGAGATATAGACGCTGCTTTTCTTCAGCTCTTGTGTCGGAAAGAAGTTGGCAGGCCATGGGAAAGTGTCCAGGGTGGAGCACATGGTCTTGGGAGAGAATGAGGCCAACATGGGCAGCAGGTCTGCTTTTTCCACTCAGCTGGGAGCCTTCCTGAGACTGGAAGAGGCTGGTCTTTGAGGGCAGAGCCAATGTAGATTGGGCACCAATAGGACATCTGGTCATGACAGTATCTATGTATCTGGTTTAGGCATACTTAAAGCCAGTAATACTCCAGACTGAGTTACAACTCCCCAGGTCCCTCTCTGTCAGGCCAGTTTGGGTTTGGTTTTCCATCACTTCCAAGTGAAGAAGACCTGCCGGCCTTCGAGTTCTAGGGGGTAGTGTGTGGGGCAGACCCCGCTCATGTCAGGTGGTGGAAAAGACACCATAGTCTGTCTCATAACAAGAAAAACAGCAGACAAATCCAAACCAAGGGCCATTCTGTAAAGTACTGGCATGTCACCAAGACTATCATTGCTAATTTTTTAAAGAGGGACATTCCATGGACGATCACAGCTCTGAGGACATGGGGCATCTGAGTGTCATGTGGGGCTCTGGGACAGAGAAGGACAGCAGAAAAAAGTTGCTGGATTCCCACCGTGGTGAGATGTACATGAAGATATCTCACTAAGTTGATGTGAGGGTGACTACCGGCTTGGGGACTCTACACCTTTCACCTGAAACTATTCCAAAAGTGGAAAGTGTCCTTGAAATGGGAGGAAAGTGGAACCGATTGCTCCTTCAGAGGTGAGTGTCTGTCCATCCAGTCCGTAAGAGTGAGAAGCTGTGGCAGGTGCTCTCAGATTTATTACCACCTCCGGGATTCTGAGGAAGAGCCTGCAAAATACTTGCAACACTCCACTAGGGGGAGCTATGAGCACCAAATTGCTTTATGAGGGCAAAGTCGGCTGTGGGAAAATGTCACTAACAAATGCCTTTCCTGGATTCGGTGGGTAGGTGGGTGTCACAGCAGGCCGTTCTCAAAGCGTAACAGCTATCTGAATGAAATACTGGAGGTGTGGGGGCCTCTGCAAGACAGGCAGCTGACCGCCCCTTCCCCCAGCCTTCCCAGGGTTACAGACAGCAGAATTCCCAGACAGACTAGGCCTCTGTGGGGGCGGTTTCATCAGAGACCCCCGGGGTACACTGCTGCAGCCACCCTGTCCTGGTGCCCAGCCCCAAGGCTGAGCCGCTGGTTGGCTGTGGCCATCGAGCCCCCTTACAGTAATCGTTGTGATGATGCTAAATGTGTAGAGACTGCTTTCCCGGAAAACTGCTGACTTGCTCGTCTGGGAAGGGGAGGTGGTGAGAGACAGCCTGATCCATTCGACGCCTGATGGCTCAGACCTTAATCAATCCCTCCTCTCGAAGCTAAAACAGTTGTGATTTATGAAATCCTGCAAGTCGGATCTCACGCATTCTGAGCAGCAAAGAGGCACGCTCACCCGATACCCTGCCAGGCATGGCTTGTTTGCCTCCTCCAGACTTCTCTGAGATTCTGGACCTGCTTTCCCTGGTCCCCCAGTCTTTGAGTTCAATAGGGAACACAGCAAACGAACATTCTGTGTCTCCCTGGGATCTGCCACACCCTCCCCGGCAGCCTTCAAGGGACTGACCTGCCTCATCACCTTCATCATCCAGCAGACTCTTGGGCAGTGACACAGGTTCACACGGTTCAGCGGAGGCTCTGATCCTGACCCTAGCCTGGGACCATTCTTTATGCACAGTGAGATGCCAACTGAGGAAAAAGCCATTCTCTCATTTGTGGAGGACAAACACATTTTTATTGGTATGTTGCTCAGAAATGACAGGAAATACCAGCTTCTATCCAGCTTCAATTTGTCTCACGAGACAGTGTGCATACGAGCACACAGGGGCGTGCTGTGTGCTGTGGGCGTGTGGAGGCCAGAGATCAAGTCCAGGGGTCTTCCTCTATCACTCTCCACCTTATGTTTTGAGGTCGGGTCTCTCACTGAACCTAGAGCTTGTCGATTTGGCTAGACTGGGCAGTGAGCTCCAGGGATCCTTCTCCCTGTCCCTTCCACGTGAGCTGCTTCTCCTGGCTTTTTAACATGGCTGCTGGGACTATGGACTCAGATCCTCATACTTGCATAGCAGATACTCAGTTGGGCCATCTTCCCCGCCCAGGCTTCAATTGAATTTTGTTTGAAAGGTAGACACAGTCACAGAGAAACGGACAAAAGATTGGAAACTGTCCTTTTCACAAGCAATATGCTCATGACAAATGCTGACTTTAGTATGAATCCAAGGCACACTGTGAGAGAATGAATTCTCTTCTGTCAGATTTTAATTGTGAAGCCACAGAACTGACAAAGGGCCTGCTGGTGAGAAAATCAACTTGACTGTCTTTCTGTAAAACGAAAGTTCTAAGGGTTCATTTAGACACAGTGCACCACAGTTTCAGTAAAATCTTCACAACAGACTGTGTCTTCCCTGGGATCTGCCACACCCTCCCCAGCAGCCGTCAAGGGACCGACCTGACTCATCACTTTCATCAACCAGTAGACTCTTGGATGGTGACACAGGTTCACATGGTTCAGTGGAGACGCTGGGCCTGACCAGACATTGAATTTAACATTCAGAGCTTGGAATGATCCTTGTGAGTTAAGTAAATTATGATAAGAAAATGTGTAGCTACAGTGTCAGAGAAAGTGTTAACTGATATGAAGCAATATCCAAAATATACTAAATGGAGGGGACCCGAGGGGTAGTGCAGTGGGTAAAGGCACTTGCTGAGGAAACCTGCCAAACATAGTTCAATCCCTGAAACCAATGTCAGTGCTTGTGTGGGAGTATCCTGGATAACTTCAGTGATACGGTAAAATGCGTCTCAATTACAGGTGGGACCATTCTCTGGTGTGTATAAGTAGAGAAGGGGTACTGTGCATCCCTTGCTTCTTCCCATGACCAGCCGCTTTAGGCTCCCGTTGCCTTGACCTCCCGCTGTGATGACTGATTGTGCGTACCTTGAACTGTGAACTGGGATAAACCCTTTCTCCCTTAAGTTGCTTTTGCTGGTGCAATTTATCACAGCAACAGGAAGGTAACCAAGATGCAGACAAAAGGAGAACAGGGTCTTAGATTTCTACACACAAGTTCCTTATAGAATTGCTCACAACAGCTGGGGCAGAAGCAGCCCAGAGCCCATCAGTGGGTGAATGAGACAACACAATATATCATCCACACAGAGTATCTCTCATCTCTGAGGATGAGGGGTGTTTTGACAACCATTACAGCACAAGTGAACACTGAGGGCACGATGAAGAGAGAAATAAGCCGGACACAAAAGGACAAATGCTGCATGATCCATCAACTTGAATTCCCTGGAGCCACCAAATGTAGAGACTGCAAGAAGAATGATGCCTATCAGGAAATAGGGACAGGGTGATGGAGACTTGTGTCCAGGCTCTAGGAGAGGGTGATGGAGACTGGTGTCCAGGCTCTAGGGAGAGGGTGACGGAGACTGGTGTCCTGGCACTAGGAGAGGGTGATGGAGACTGGTGTCCAGGCACTAGGAGAGGGTGATGGAGACTGATGTCCAGGCTCTAGGGAGAAAGTGATGGAGACTGGTGTCCAGGCTCTAGGGAGAGGGTGATGGAGACTGGTGTCCAGGCTCTAGGGAGAGGGTGATGGAGACTGGTGTCCAGGCACCAGGAGAGGGTGATGGAGACTGGTGTCCAGGCTCTAGGAGAGGGTGATGGAGACTGATGTCCAGGCTCTAGGGAGAGGGTGTGGTGACTGGTGTCCAGGCTCTAGGGAGAGGGTGATGGAGACTGGTGTCCAGGCTCTAGGGAGAGGGTGATGGAGACTGGTGTCCAGGCTCTAGGGAGAAGGTGTTGGAGACTGGTGTCTAGTGGGGATAGAGCCTCAGTGAGGGAAGGTGATCACTCTGGAGCTAAAGGGTGGTGAGGGTTTCACAACAGGAACTGAGTACCCTCAGCTGTGCATTAGAAATGATGAGATGCATAAGCCTAGCACTATATATGTCTCCCCAGAATAAAAACCTACACTAATGGTTTAACTACAACAAAACCCAAGCACAGACAGGCGGCTGATGCATTTCAAAACCAGATTTAGCTGTGTTCTAGGGGGGGGGGGATGATGCCATTACCAAAGCAGAGCACTTGATTATGGTTCTGGGTCAGATTTCTCAGCTCTTGAAGCCCTGTTATCCATCTGTGTGGAGGAGGAAAGGGCTCACACCACAGCTTGCTGTAAAGGTCAGAGCCCGACTGTACATGCAATGTGCTGAGCTTGCGAGGCCATAGCTCCCACTGTACAGCTGTTCTCGCTGTGTTCCATGGCCCATCTGACCCTTGGACATGTGGACTCCAGGCTCTATGGCCTCAGTCTGGCAAGCCAGTAAAAGACAGTGGGTTTTGCTCTGAATCTGTGAACTCAGGTCTTAGAAGAAACCAGGGATAGGGTGGCAGGGGAGGTGATTTTAGCATGTGCTTCTCACATGTCAAAATGGGATGAAGATAGAAGACACCAACTGCAAAGGAAGGGCTTCCACATGAGTCAGAGGGGGCCCTAGATATCAAGGACCTCAGGCCAGCAGCTGCTGTATCCAAGTGCTGGGCACCCAAGTGGGCATCTCAGCTAAAGCTGCCAGCGCAGAATTCCCATGTGTGAGAAGCTTGGGGGCGTCTGTTGTTGGTGTTCCGGAAGGCCTTCCCCAAGCTTCCCAGCAGAGCGAGAAATGTAAGAGTGAGAGGGGATGACATGGGGGCTGAATACAGAGACAGCCATCCAATGAGACCTTGCTGGGGTCCCCTGAGACTCACATGAATACTTGGCCGTCTGTGTAGCTCTGGGACCCTCCTAATAGGTCTACCCTGGCAAGCCCAGAATCGGTTTTTACATCTAGGCTCCATCTAGCCCAGACATGCCAACACAGATGCCTGGTGGATGCTGGTGAGCAGAACACTGCCCCAGATCCTAGTTAGAGTATATTTGCCCGAGGGACACATCCTCTATTAGCCGCAGGGGAATAAGGCTTCAGGGACTCCACGGCATGGCTAGGCCAATCGGAAGCTGGGAAAGGAGGCTCTTGTGAGATTTCTGCAGGACAGTGGAGTTTCTGCACTCTGGGGCCTACCCAGCCTGTGCACCAGGGTCTGACATGCCCATGCTGGACTGGAGCCTCTCTCCACCTGGCATTCTGAGATTATTGCTTATCCCATCTACTCTGTTTAGGGTGCCCAGTGAGAATCCTGAGGGCCACAGATCTTCTCACTCCTCCTGAGTGATGAGGCATCAGAGAGAGTCCCAGGAAAGTTTCTGGCAGGTGCCCCAGGATTTCCATGCAGTGTAGACACTCTCACTGGCTCCCTCCAGCAAGGCTGGAGTGCCCGGGCTCAGCTGAGACACTTCCGCCCTCTGCTGGCAGATATGGGTACTACAGGGAAGGACTAGTGAGAAAAGCTGCCTGCAGGTGCTGGAGACTGAGAGCCTCCAGGAATCTCAGGGCTTTACCAGGTCCGACAAGACCCAGCCCTGAGGCACAAAGGAGAAAGTTGGGGGAACTTATTGGGTCCCAGAGCCAGAAAAGGGAACAAGAGTAGCCTACAGGGCTGGGATTCTCTGTGCCACTTAGAGTCCCACTTTCTTACGAGTGGCAAGGTGGACAACATTTTTCTAGTTGGAGAAACCGGGACGTTGAGAAGCAGGTGCCTTTGTGGGTTCCAGATTGAAGCTCACTCTGGGGCCCGTGACAGGCTTGGGGAGGAGTGAGAGCAACAATAGCAATAAGCCAGGGATGAAGCTAACCCTGGGGCTGCCGCTGTTGGGGCCACGTTCCCACAGCATGACAGCAGCACAGGTCAGGATGCCCTGGGAGAGGACTGGCCATGCCAGACGTCTAGAGCTGACTCTGGAGTCCTTCTCATGGAGACAAAGCGGTATTTAAGACATGCAGGTTCTAGGGTTCACTGTGGCCTTATGCATGGCAGAGCCCGCCTCCATGAAGTTCACTCTAGGCCAAGCAGAGCCCTGAGCCTCAGCTTGATCACAATAGAGCCCGTATGAGTCCCTCACCCACACATGAGAACACAGGGCCCACACTGCGCATGGCTGTCAGTCCCTCTGCTGTAAACAAGACTGGTTTAAAGTCAAGGTTTCCCTGGGTTGTAAGCCCTGGTTATCCTCCTAAGAGAATCATGGGGCCTACAGGTGTTGCCCATCAGTGCATTCTCAAAATCCAGGATCCATCGTGTCCCCAGCTTATTTCTGGAGCTGGCATGCACATACTTGCCTTGCCACCCCTGGCCTCCCAGAAGCACCAGAGTTCTGAGCATCCAGTATCCTGTGACCGGCTCCTACTGGCCGCTGGATCTCCATACGACTAAAGCATGCCTGGGCCAGACTCCAGCCTCACCAGGATACCACAGGATCCAGGACCAAACAGCGCCAGCTGTTTTACCACAAGCCCCAGTGTCTGGCGATAATGTGAGACCCATATGACTTTCCAGTGCATAGAATCCAGGAGAAATTTAATTAAAATTGTTTTTTCTCTCACAGTTTTGTGACTAGATCCCAGGGCCTTGTGTCTATGAACCAAGTGCTCTAGCACTGAACCACATCCCCAGCCTGAAAGACTTTTTTTTTTTTTTTCCAAAGACAGGGTTTCTCTGTAGCTTTGGAGCCTGTCTTGGAACTTGCTCTATAGACCAGGCTGTCTTTGAACTCGAAGAGATCCACCTGCCTCTGCCTCCGGAGTGCTGGGATTAAAGGCGTGCACCACTGCCGCCTGGCAGACTTTTAAAATAGATCCCTAAATATCAGTTTCTATTACTATTCTGCTGGCAGTAGGGTGGCCGCTATTGAGAATGATTGAAAAACATCTTGGAAGGAAAGGTCCTCACCGGATCTCACTGGATCCCAGCTGAACCAGGATACAGAGAAGATGTCCCTGGGATGGGTCTTCAGGGTGAGACTCCTGTGGTGACTTTCGGCCAACCTCATGAAGCACAGGCGCCTGCAGTCAGCTGTGTGTCTACTCCAGACCTCCCTGCCTCCATCAGCCCATGAGGGTCATCCTTGCCCCAGCCTGGATACTGCCCACGTCTGGCTTTGCTTTTCCTGGTTCCTCCCTCCTGGGCAACAGGAACGTGTGATGAGGACCAAAGGGACCCAGATAATGTCCCTTTTTACGGACAGTTAAAGATAGAGGGCGGAATGAGGCTAAGCAACTAGTGTCTCCTTTTGTTCTTTCTCATGCTGTCAGAGATACAGTCTTGCGTGGGATGCTTGTAGCTCTTGCAGAAGTTGCTGGCACAGACTGGGATGAACCAGTATAGGGAGGAAGTGAGGCATAGGATAGGAGAAGGGAGAGTGAAAAGTCCTGTCCCAGGCCACCTGAAGCCCAGGCTGGCATAATGGAGCTCTCCTAAGGTGCCAGCTATAACACAAGCTCAGGCTGAGCCCAAGGAGGGACTGGTGGAAGCATCAATAATGCCGGTCACTGAGATGCCACATCTGACCTCCAGGTGAGCACTGAGATACCCAGATATGGTAACTGGTCACCACATAAAACTCCAGGAGGCAACACATGGGTTACAAAGCGAATAACAGGAGGCAAGAGGGCCATCCCCACACAAGCCAAGTCTCCATGCAGCCAAGAGAAAGAGAAGCATGTCATGGAGAAAGGTGGGATGGGATGAAATTCACTAACCAGCACTGAGGGCCTCTGATCCGTGGGCAGTGATGTCACAGCAAGTAAGATGATCAGACAGACACTGCCCGAGTCCCCCACTGTGCATACAATGACCAGTCTTCCTGTCATAGGTGGGCGGATCACCAACACACACATATGGGCCTCAAGCAGTTGGACCATTACCTTACGGAATGTTTTGGACAGGGGTTAGGAGACAGCCCAGCCGGGTAGAGGTGCTGCTGCCTTCTTGCTCGCTGGTGACCTGAGTTCCATGGGACTTACATGATAGAAAGAGAGAACAGACTCCCAGAAGCTGTCCCCTGACCTCCACAAGCATGCATGTATGTGTGTATGTGGGTGCAGGTATTCATACATACATGTGTGCAAGAAGTCAATATTGGATGTCTTCTTCATTGGTTCTCTGCCAGGAGCCAGCTTACTCTGGGGTCCCCTGTTGCCACCTCCGGAGCACATGGGATTCCAGGTAGGCCACCCTGCCTGTTCACCATCTACACAGGTGCTGGAGACAGAACTCAGGCCCTTACCCACTGAGCCGCTTTCCCAGTCCCTGAATTCTATACTTTTAAATAGTCAACAGGGCTGGGTTTGGTAGTGACACATTTGTCATCACAGCACTTAGGAGGTAGACATAAGAAGACCTCGTGCGTCCAAGGTCATCCTCAGCTAAGTGGCAAGTTCAATAAATACCATGGAACTCTTTTCACAACAGATACAAACCAAACAAAAAAGCCCCAGCAACTACAACAACAACAATAGAAACACACAAATGAAATCTTGAGCTTGGGCTGGAGGTAATGCGTCTCAAATGGAAGAATGCTGGGCTCCAGCACCACAAGGTGAAGTAGTAAACTTTTTGACTCTTTTATTTGTGACACTGAAACAGCAAAGCCACCCATCAGTAGCCGATCTGGCAAAATCTCAAACACAGGGCTGTGGTTCCCACAGCAGTGGAAAGACATCTGCACGGATGTGGAGTCAGGAGAGGCCCCAGCTTCCCTAGCCCCAAACATTCCAAGCTTTGAGCTGGTTCAGACACACTTCACCAGTCAAGTGGCCTTGCGTGAGCTGCTCCTGGTGGGTGTGACAGCAGAGTTGTGTTTGTGTTTTAAGCATGCAAAAGAGTTGCTCAGCAAGGCAGAGGGAATGGATGAGGTCATTCAAGATTTGGCCACAAGTAACCTGGGTGGGCTGGGGTGGAACCTGCAGAGACTGGTGATGGTCGGTGTGTGTTCCATGTGTGGGTGTTTAATGTTTCCAGAACGTGATAAAGCAGGAAGCGGTGAGCGCTATGCACAAGGGGCTCAGGGTTCCTCCTGGACCCAAGTCAACTGCAGCCTCCAAGTGGAGTAAGTCCATCTAATTGTGAGGACTTTGTAAACAACCCCAGGCATCATTCCAGCGGTTTGCTTTTTAGAACCTCATTCCTGCAGCCCAGAGTACCACAGTGATCTGCTACCCCCTATGGTGGCTTTAGTGGCCTGCAAAGCCTGGTTCATCCACATGATTGCACCAGCAGGAATAGAGCCTCGAAGAGAAACATGAGACCAGGGGATGTGAGCCTCCAAGGACCAGAAAACCAAGCGTTTCTCCTGGGACCTGGAATTTTCCACAGGCACATCTGTCTCCCTTGTGACTCAGCCACATCCTCCCTGCTTGGGATGACCAGACCTCCTATTTGGGGACAAGAGGAAGGGGTGGCTCTTTGCCTTATCGGTGAACTTTTCCACTGTGGCCCAGGGGCCCTTGGGCCCCTGCTCACCACTCCCCCCAGACTTCCTGTGGAAGCCCACATTGAGCCTCACCACAAGCTTCTGAGACGGCAGATCTCGGGGACCATTTCCGCACCCTCACTGTAACCTTGAAAGGGAGGGACGGGATGCGTTCTGCACAGGAAGACGAGACCTGAGTCTCCTTCCTCCCATCAGAACTGAGGTCCATCTTGAGCCTCATGGAATTCCCATGCTCACCCCCAGCTACCAAGCCGAGCTCTGGGGAAGTGCCCTGTGCGCCCAGACGATGGAAGGTGTCACTCAAGACAAGCGTGGTGGTTTTCTAACTGCTTCCTCTGTGACTTTCATGACAGATCATGGTGGCCTCCCAACACCTCCATTTTCCTGAGCAGGGTCAGAGCTCTGAGTAATCCCGATGTCAGAGGCACCTATATAAAGTTTGAACTACAGCCAGCCAAACCAGAGACCAGAGAAGAGTCTGGGACACTGCTGTCCTAACAGAAGGGCTGGGGTGGGGGTGGGAATCCCAGGTGCCTGGGATGGAGATGTTAGGAGTCAAGGCTATTATTCCCACACCCTGGTCCAGATATTCCCACACCTTGACCCCAAGAACCCCACACTTTGGTCCCAGGAACCCCCATATACTCATTCCTCAGGACTCTACTCTGGGAATCCCTTACACAGACACATGGATCTCAGACTGTGGGACCCAGGAAATCCCCCAGGCTCCAGCTATCGTTAGAGCTGAAGAACCTGGTAGAGAGCCCAAAGCAGGGCCTTATTTTTGTACAGAGCCCCACCCTTACCTGGGCTCCTGGTTGCTGAGCAGAGTAGGGACTGTCCATACTGTCCCCAGACATCAGACATAGTTGGTCTCAAACTTTCTGGTACAAAACAAAACTCCTGGGCACCATTCAGGGCACAGCAGCCCCTCCATACCCATCATAGCCCACATAACCTCTGCCTCTCCCCATGGAGATAAACACCATGCCTGGTTGCCGTGGGTAGTGGGACTATCCCTAACCTATGGGTCTTTCAAGTTTGGTGTGAGCAGTTCTGCTCAGCAGTGAGAACAAAATGGAGGCACAAATATGATTGTCTGTGTTCGGGTAGCGAGCACACTAAGAAGGAGAAAGCCTGTGTAGTCTGTCTCTCTCTGTTTGTGGCATATAAGGATCGATCCCTCAAGCATGCAGAACCAGCACTCCACCACCTACATCCCTAGCCTTCATTTTGCTTTTTATTCTGAGTCCAGTCTGGTGTTTAGCTTATAATTCCTCTGCCACAGCCTACCGGGTAGTGGGTATTTTAGGCCCCGGGGCCACCAGGTCTGATGTGATGTTAACCTTGATATCTTTTATTTAACCCTAACAGAATCATAAAGTCACAGCTTCAATACAGAAGCAATGTAAGGAATGACAGATATTCTACTCCCTTTAGCTTCTATGTCTTTAAAATATGTTTGTATTTTGCATCCACTGCCTGTGGTCAGTTCAGGTACTGAATTTTTATCCTAACTACTGGACTGAGAGCTGGCAAGATTGCTCAGTGGGTTAAGGCAATTGATGCCAAGCCTGTCCACCTGAGTTCAATCCCTAGGACCCACATGGTGGAGGAGAGAACCAACTCTCACAAGTGTTCCTCTGACCTCCTTTAGTACACTGTGGCATGTGCAAGCCTCACACAGATAGATTGGATGGATGGATGGGTTAATAGATAGATAAATAGACACATTAAATTAATAGATTAGATTAATAGATAAATAGATTAGATTAATAGATGATGGATGGATGGATAAATAGATTAAATTAATAGATGATGGATGGATAGATAAATAGATTAGATTAACAGACGGATAGATAAATGATCAGACAGATAGATAGATGTAATGAAAGTTTTTAAAAAATCCTGGACTAGACAGAATTCACAAAATTTAGCCAACAAAGCACATTCAAACGGACTAGGGGCAGCTCAGTCAGCAGAGACACAAGTTTAATGCACAGAACTCACACTAAATGTGTGTGTGGCGAGGTGAGCTGGGCATAGTGGCACAAGTTTGTAATCCTAGCACTGAGGAAGTAGAGATAGTATCCCTGGGGCTTGCTGGCCAGCTAGTCTAGCTCACTTGGTGTGTTCCAGGCCAATAAGAGATCAGATTGAGACCTCCGGCCTCCACAAACATTTGCACGTGTGCACCCTAATACCCAAGAACACACACAAAGTGCACCCATGCACTTAATGCATGAAGTGCATTAGATGTTTTTAAAAGTGGAATGATTGGTTTAAAAAAATGCTGCTGTTTTGCAACAGGGTCTCATTCTAGTCCTTGTGACATGTGACTGGCTCTGTCATTCCTGGGTGCATACCATCACAGGTTGTATCTATGTCATACTGGCACGGTCTTTGATTGTCCAGTCTTACCTGCTGGTGTCTATGTCTAAGTCTCCATGAAGGACTCTTCCTGGTGCCACTGCAACCACAGCCTAAGACATAGTGTTGACCCCAAGCAGGAGGAGGGTGCTGACCAGGCTCAACAGTCTAGAATCCCCACACCCAAGCCAGCCTGCTGCCAGCCTGCCAACAAAGTCCTTGAATATGATGGTGGGACCACCCGGTGCTTGTAGGTCCTCACAGGGCTCCAGAGTACTATCAGGTTCCAAGACAGTTGGGTGTGAACTATCTTTCTATGGGCTAAAATCCTGGGTATGTGAGATGGGAGAGATGCTTTAACCTCTGGCTATGTGGAAGTCTTCCAGGTCATCCATCCATTTGTATAAAAGAATGTGTGCAAAACCATGTGTGCTGGTAGGGGATAACACAGGTATGTAGGCCCCACCCACCAGAGGAAGAGTCAGTTCTTCCTTCACTCAGAGAAGAGCGGAGAGGAGGAGGCCTGAGTGGAAGACTCAAGTCAGTAATGGCTGCAGGCTCAAAATAGTCTGCCATAGTAACTCAAGATTGCAATCATAACACTTAACAAGACTGGGGCAGGAGAATGGACAACAGTTCTTGTCTACCCAAGACCCTGTCTCAAAAGGAAGAGCCAATAGTGGCATTACCAGCAGGTTGGGCAATAGTGTTACCTTGTAAGCTGGGGACAAACAAGGCCTCCACTTGGGCTGGGCAATGGTGCACTGGCAGGCTGGACCTGGGTATGCTTGGGCCTGTCCCTTCCAGACCTCCAGACCTTTACCAGCAGGTAGGGTGGCCAATTATGTCTTGGTTTTATTGGTTTAGTTGGTACTTAGCCCTCCCTCACAGTTACCTGGCTTCCAGGCACTTTGAGAGGAATTTGCCCAAGGTGGGAGGGGGAGGGACTCTGCTCCCACCTAGGCAGACAGGACTAGACTGTGCTTTCTGGAAGGAGTTGGCGTGTCCTATAGTCATGCTGCTTGGAGTCTGCTCCTGACACAAGTGTCATTGAGGGCAATGTACCCTGGCTGTAACTCCTGTCACCAGGACAGCCTGTACAAGCATTCCTGGCTGCCAGAGGCCCCCAGAAATGGTTGCAGTAAAAGTCACCGGAGCCAGTAATTCTCCTTGTAGGTTGAGACCAACCCAGGAAACTGATTTCAAATGTCCCCAAGGCAGAAACTTCCCTCATTTCCTGGATGTAATTTTCCAGAGTTGAAACTTTCCTCTTAAGTATGTGTGTGTGTGTGTGTGAGGGGCATTTATATTATGTAGCCACTGACAGCACAAAGAACTATTTCTGTCCAATCAGAAGCCACACTCCATGCCAGCCAGCCATGGTAGCACACACATATGATCCCAGCACTTGGGCAGGTAGAGACAGGAAGATTGGGAGTTCAAGGTCATCCCAAGCTACCTAGAGAGTTCAAGGCCAGCATGAGATTCAAGGCAGGTAGACTGCTAGGTCTACTCTTGTTTTTGAAGGTACAGGTCTGGGCACATGTGTGTAGCCCGTACAAGACAGGGAAAGTTCCGGAGGAGGGAGGCCCAAGGGGGCAAGGACTCAGGGCCCTGGACACCAGTGTGTGTGGGAGAGCGGCTGGAGAGTAGCACCCAGTCACAGAGGCACCAATGGGGGTGAAGAAACACAGATGTGAACACCTAAGGAGCTCCTCTCAGCCTGAGGTCTCAGGAATCCAGTTCCTAGGCAAACACTGTGGCACACAGCGCACCTCAAATGAAGATCGCACCAAACCAAAGTCAAAACACTGAGTCTCTTGCTGGACCTGATGCCTTCTTGGCATACAGGTGGCTGTATTTCATGGCAGGGGCCCTGTGTGGCTGTCAGCCAACAGCAAGGAACAGGAAGTGCTGTCTGGGATCTGGCATGACCCTGGAGATCAGTGTGGTGCCCAGACAGCAACAGCTCAGCACTCAGATGGTGCCCACAAGGGTAAAGGTTGTAACTTGGGTCGCTCCTGATCCTTGGGAACCTGGTCCATGCCGATGGTCCCTCCTCTCAGACGGGAAGGGTCTAGAGACACCAAGAACCCAGTTCTGTCTTCTCAGCCACTGCAAGGAATTCTGTGTTGAGACAGTTTAGGACTATTCAAATATGTCACTATCAGAAAAGGGAAGTGACCAACCAATGAACAACACTGCCATTGCTCTGGGGGGGGGGGGAAGCAGATCATGTCAAAACAGTGCATGAGAGATCAAAACAAACCCTGCTGTCTAGACAGGTAGGAAGACTGTCTTCTGGCTCCTTCAGGAGGGAGAGAGGACACTAGGAGCCTTGGCAGTTCTCAGGAAGAGAACTAGAACAGAATGTGTCTCCCAGCCTGAGGGGAGGCAGGTTGGATTGCAGTCTCTTCTGGAATAGTCAGGTAGAAGCCACCTTTCCCTCCCCAGAAAGGAGGGGAAAGTTCATGTAAATCCACACTTGCTGGGCTCACTCTGGTTGTTAACAATGAGCAGTTGAGCCAGGGAGCCAAGGTGCATCAAGCCCAGGGACGCATGAGTGACAGTGAGCTAGGTCACTCTCCCTGGGGCCTCAGATGTTTTCCTTCATAACCAGTTGTAGGGTATCCCTATCCTTAGTCACAATGAAATTCCAAACATTCTTTGCCCTTTGTTTATCGATAGGTTAAATGTTGCCTCCAACAAAACCAAAACAACCCTTGCTGAGGAACGGCATCCAAGGCAGGCCATGTTTCAAAAGGTCCAGGTAGCATCTTCTGGATCTGCTTCCTCCATAGGTCTGTTCAGTGTGAGGAAGTCACTCAGGGGGTGGGGGCAGGACCTACTAATGGTGCCCAACCCCGACAAGGCATGTACATACAGCACATAGTAGGGCATCTGGGGTGGAGAAATTAGACTGTGAACCAGGAGGTCAGAAGAGAAACAGGGGACAGGTCTCAGAGACATGAGAGTTCTCGACAGAAAGTCACCTGCCTGTCTGGCCCAGAGTACTTCATGGGCACCACAAGACAGAACAGATCTATGGAGTTCAGAGTGGGAGGTCTGAGGGAGAACAAACTCTGGAGGTGATGCTGTGAGCCCACCTGGCAATCCCGCCCCCTAGAGCTGGCATAGGGCAGGAGACTACTCGATTCTCCTCCATCCCTGAGCAATATCACCTGGAGATGCAGCCTGGGTCTGGCTGCCATGAGGTTGTGGAGTCAGGTGCTCCCTTTGATGGTGAACTGTGTTGGCTGCCATCCTGTGCTTCCTGACAGAGGCACTGGTAAGGCCAGTGGCTGCCACTCATCTTAGGTGCTTCTGGTGGCCCCCAGGACCACATATGATGTGCTGGCATTCCTCCTCTATCTCCACCCACCTTCTCCCTAGCGATACCCCACCCACCCTGCCGATTCCTGCCCAGGAGTCCCAGTCCACCTACAAAGCAAGAGAGGGTCTCGGTTCAGTATAAACAGACTTTGGTAGCCCCAGCTCATCCCCTAAAAGTGGCCAGGAAGGAGAGATACCCTTGCTTCCCTTACCAGAAGGGAATTAAGACTTTTCCAGTCATTTAGAGACATAGTTAATGAAGGTTATGATGGAAATATTTATGAACCCTTTTGGGGTTTTTCCATTTCCCTGATTTGACATGACCAGCTGTGAGTCATTGGTCACTAGCAGCTGAGTTAATCAGGCCAGGGCTTCGGCTCCCACTTTCCTCAGCCGAGCATGAAACCTGCTGTCCGGAACCCCACCCATCATCATTGCCCAGTGCTAACTTCTCAGACAGTCAAAGCCAAGCTCCAAGTGCAGGCAAGCATCTAAGCCCATGGAGGGCTTACTCCAGCCCAGCGGGCATCACCTCCGGGACGGTTCCGGTTGCAGGGCTACTGCTTTGCTGACATTTCCTATCCCAGAGCATTCCTTGGCTAGCTAACCACACTCCCGGGCTCTTGCTAAATAGCCACCAACGTCCTGTGATCCAGCTGTCTTTTGCAGTGTGCCATTTTCATTGCTCTGAGTTGTTCTGTGTCATGCTCTCCCATCTGTCTGAGCTCTGTGGGAGACCTACATTCTCAGAGCCTAGGTCCCAGCCCACAGCAAGGTGTGACACCTGCTGGGATAACACACACTATGATGCACTGCCTGGTCCTAACCCTGGTGGTAACAAAGCCATTTCTGTGTATTATTTCATTTGGTTCTCCCAAAGCTCTATAAGGCCAATGTTCCTAGTAATCTTCATTTTAAACGTGAAAATTCCAAGGGTTAGAGAAGTTCAGACAGTAGCCTCAGGAAACACGGTGGGTCTCACTCAAAGTCAGTAGCCCAGCACATCACAGATCTGCTCATCCAGATCCTGCACTCATGGTATCTGTGCACGCCACCCCAGCCTACAGCAGTCACATGACTGCCGTGTGCATTCCTTCAAAATTATCCTTAAGGTATTGGAATTCCCACCCTCAGAGACTTCCAGTGAATGGTGTCACACCATAATGATTCTCTTATGACGGACCCGCAAGGGTCAGTAAGGTGGCTTGTGGGTAAATGCACTTGCAACACAAGCCTGATGGCCTGAGTTTGATCCCTGGGTTCCATAGAAGGAGAAAAAGAGAAGCTGCCCTCTGACTTCACATACGCATCATGGCATACATGCTAGGGCACACATAGCCACACATACATGATATTCACTTACACACACAATGATAACGAATATGAAAATTAAAAATAGAATTCCCAAGCTTCATCCACATTCTAGTTTGGTCAGGATTTTCTTCATCTGTAAGATTGAGTAATGGTCTGTTAAATGGGCAGATTGGCTTATTCATCTATCTGTTTATACACTGAGAAATGCTTGGGCCATTTCTTCACTTCGGTTATTGTAAATATTGCTGTTATGACTAGAATTGTGCAAGCCTCCTCTTGTGTTGCTGCCTCCAGCGCTGTTTGCAATGTGTCCCAAGTGAAATTGATAGAGGGTACAGAAATTCTATTTTTAACCTTTGAGGAAATACTGTGTCACTTTCACAGCAGCGGTGCCAGTTTGCACTCCCACCAGCATCGCCACAGGTGTATTTCTAAGAAGGCCTCAGAAACATAAGCTTAAACGTACAGGCAGCAATATCAAAAGTAGAGAAATGAGACTGTACTAAACTAAAAGGCTCCTACAGAAAAGGAACCTATCAACGGCGCGAAGAAACGGCCTGCAGAGCACTGGGAGAAAATATCTGCAAGCTATCCATCGGACAAGCCGACATCCGACATACATAAGGAAGTCAAGCAAGACTGTGGCCAGGAAACAAACAATCCAGCATAAGGACATCTGTGAACAGTTCTCAGAAGACAACACAGCCAGGGCAGCAGGGCAATGATAAAAGACTCACCAAGGAAATGCAAACCAAAACTGGCATCTTGCCTACACCTGTTAGGATAGCAACCATGAAAAGACACAGAAAACTAGTGTTGACAAGGATGTAGACAAAAGAGAACTCTTGTATGCTCTTGGCTGAATGCAAATTTCTACAGTCATTATGGAAACTTTTATAGAGGTTCCTCAAAACAAAACAAAAAAACTAAAGCTAGTAACTACTGCGTGGTCCCACCATTCCTTTCACTGAGCACATACTGAAGGAAATAAGGCCAATATATGAGGGACCTTTGTACTCCCATACTTATAGAAGCATTATTCTCAGTACCAAGAAACAGAATCCATTCAATTGTCCAACAACAGATGATTGGGTAAAGAAAATGTGGCACATATAACAATGGAGTAGTATTTAACCTGAAAAGAGGAAATCCTGCCATTGCATAGTGACATAAATGAACCCAGAGGAATTTATGCAAGTGGAAATAGCCAGATGCAGAATAATAAATGCATGATCTCACTTATCTGAGGAATCTATAAAAGGCAAAGTCCTAGCTTGGTAGTTTCCAGAGTCAGAGGAGGGTGGAGCAGGGGAGGATGCTGGAAGGCTACAAGTTTCCGTTGAAAGATGGGGGAAGTTCCTGAGCCCACATTGGTAATAGCACAACACAGGCTTGCACATTACAGTGTAGCAAGGGCTTGCACATTGCTGGGAAACTGGGTTTTCCATGTTCCAAATGTACATACCAAGTGATTGACAGGCTCTTTTGTTTAATTCTCTCATGGTATATACTTGCATTTAAACACCATGTTCTACACATGTCAAGACATGCAATGTTTGCAAAGTTTTATTTTACTATTTTATTTAAAGAAAGAAAAGCCTGAAAGAGCAAGGACTTGGGTTCCGGAAGGAGGTCCTACTTCCAGATTCAATCTGGAAAACCCCGAGGCAGCCTGGAGACAAGGGTCCATGCAATACAATGCTGTCTATTGCTGTGATAAAAACATCATGACCAAAACCAACTTGAGGAAGAAAGGAGTTATTATCTTACAACTCCCAGGTCACAGTCTATCACCAAAGGAAGTCAGGGCAGGAACCTGGAGGCAGGAACTGAAACAGAGGCCATGAAGGAAAGCTGCTTACTGGCCTGCTTCCATGGCTTGCTCAGCCTGCCCAGAGGTAGCACCACCCTCAGTGGGATGAGCCCTTATCAATTTTCAATCTAGAAAATACCCACAACACACTTGCCTACAAGCAGTCTAGATGGAAGCATTTTCTCAATTAAGGTTCCCCTTCTCAGATAATTCCAGCTTGCGTCAGCAACAACAACAAAGCAACCAGGAATCACATTAAGCTCTTAGGAGGCCAGTGCTCGATTCTGTGGATCCCGGGGTAGTCGGGAGAGGGATGGAACTGGTTTTGGCACAAGGAAGAAGGGCTGCTGCAGGATCGGGGGCCCCAGAAACCAAGAACCTGCCCTGTGTATGAGAAGCAGTTCAGGAAGACCACAGACACGAGCATCCGAGGCTGGAAAGGGTAACTGACCCAGAGACAGTCAGCTATGTTCTCAACCTCACCTCCATAATCTGTTCTGTCCTCCTCACTCTGCGATGTCTCTTCTGGGAGGTAAGGCCCACCCATCCAGAAGCTGCCAGCCCCAACCCCACCCCTGTGACCCGGTGCAGCCCCAAGAAAGAGATTAGGAGGGGTTTCAGGCCTAAGGTTCAGGGAAGGAAGGCAGTGTCCTCCTGGAATATAGGGCTGGGACAGTTTGGGACAAGCCTAGGGATAGCTCAGAGGAACAGCATTGGGGCTACAGGAGGATGAGATAGGCTGGGGACAAACAGGGAGGAGCATGAGTCACTGGCAGAGAAGGAGGGAGGGGCACAGATTAGGACAGGTAGGAAGCGCTGGGGACCTGTGGGTAGAGAAGCCCCTCCAGAGGCTGACTGATGGGGGCCGCCCCAGGAAACTGGGTCATGGCTGGTGTCTGAGTCTCACCAAAATGCCCTGGTAGTTAGGTATGGTGGCAATGGCTGGGCCCAGGGGCAACCCTCAAGCAGAACAATACCCCTGCCTGGAGGGATGGAATCCCTCTCCAAATATCCTTTCTTTCCGGGTGGATTTGAAACAAGCTGTTATCAGACTGAGGGGCCAAGTTAGAAGTACTAAGAGAAAAGGAATAGTGACCTTCCTTCTACCCATATGGTCCCCCTCCCTTTATTTCCCCACCTGTTCTTGAGAAAACATCAAGTTTCCAGGCCTCCTAATGTCATCCATTGGCTTCCCAGTATGGCAGCTGGCTGTGGCTAGACATTCTTCTCTCTGTGATGTGACCTCTGTCTCCCGGGAGCTTTCACTTGCTCCCCACTTGCTCCCCTGTGTGAGGCTGCTGGACCTGGGAGCCTTGAGAAGCCCCCTGTAATAGGCAATGTCAGGTTATTTTCCCCAAAGGCCATGGAGGTGATTCCTACCCCACCTTTGCTGATGTCTCCTATACCAGCTCCTTCTGGGGTCCCTGCAGTGATTGAGAAATCAGCACACAGTCACAGCCATCCATGAGAGTATGGCAATGAACACAGAGAGATGTAGAAATACAAACAAGCCAACGGGGAACAGCCTGCCTCTCATCATGACCTCAGACCAGAGGAAAATAAGAAAACAGCCCCCATGTCCCTGTCACAGGCCACAGGCTCTGTTGTAATGTCACCATTGCAATAAATAAAATTTCTGGAATAAAGACAGAAAGCAGAGAGGGAAAGAAATTAAAAAGAGACCAGCAGAGAGAGAGAGGCAGACACACAGTGGAGGAGGAGAGAGCCATAGGCATTGGCCCCCTTCTGCTTACAGGCAGAGGAGGAGGGTTCCTAGTGGCCTGTAGAGGAGTGAGACAGACTGGGGCTGTGGCTAAGAAGATAGAATGTCCTGGAGGGGCTTGGGTCTCCTGGAGATCAGGAGGAGACATTGGAGAAGGCGCAGGCATATACTGAGGTGTGGCAGTGAGCTGAGGCTATGGTGAAGGCTCCTATGGCCACCCAGGGCGAGGTGATTACTGATTAAACTCTAAAGGTGAGTAAGTCTGCATCCGCAGTGGGGTCGACACCCATGGGGCTGATATACAGAGAGCTGGGGTACTTACAGACACACAGGTCCTTGAGTAGGGGCAGAGGG